GCTCGGCGGCCGACGCGAAGAAATTTCCACGGTGGAAAGTGACAATTCACGCGGCGTCCGTCGAGCGAATTACCCGATCGATCGTTTCAAGGGGAAGGAACGAAGTTTCGAAAGTGGACTGGCCGTATTTACATTCGCCGGGACGAATTTCCAGCGAGAAGCGAGCCATTTTATTCGGCGAAAGTTTGCTGTACAGATTAATTTTCAATTATCCGCCGGATACCCGACAGAGAATGGGATATGGGATTCCTGATTACCGCATCGACAAATCAAAGCCTGCTTGATTTAATCTTCCTGGCAAATTACATGTGAAAGAACCGGCCGGGAAATATTTCTCGTTAAACGGAATCGCTGAATTTCATTCGATTTATCATTTCCACCCTTCGATCAATTTCTAACTTCGTTACATTCGATTCCTCGATAATACATAACTCGAAAATTTCCTATAAAATCGAGAAATAATATTTCCAAACGCATCGAATAAATCAGTCATCTCAACTCCTCAATCAACGCATCTCTAACAAAAGAAATCCTCTCAATTCTATATTCTACCTTTCAGAGAACTAAACACTAAAGTTTCCATCATTCTTTCCACCTGAAAACTTTACCGAAACCACCCTTATCGAGGGTGACACCGAGCTCCATTCATCGCGAGGCATAATCAACTGTAATTATTATAACAGAAGCAATTACCAGGGAATCTAATCAGCACAGTAGCCAGACACGTTTCCACTTCGGCGTCGAAAGCGTCGGGGGCGAAGGAACACGCGACGCGAGGGGTTGGGAGCGACAGGGTCGGCGACGCGGAAGGAAGAAAGGACGCGGAACCCCCGGGGCGGAGGGCATTCACGCGGCGACCTCGCGGGAAACTCGGAATCCTCGCGCAGGCTGCGATAAAAGACGTGTGGAGCTGTCGGCGGTCGCAGGAAGGGTCGCTAATACTCTGAAAATCTGCTCCCCCGCGTCATATTCGGTGGCTCCGGTATCGGGCCGACCCTCCTCGAAATTCCGCGCCGACATCCGCTTGATTACATGCGTCTCTCTTCCGCTTCATTTCCGAGGAGGGGCCGGCTGTCACGGAAAATTTCTTTCCCCCGAAGACCGTTCCGGAGCACGAGCCTTCCGGATCAGATCCTAAACGATTTCCCAGGAACGATCATGCTGGAGTGGATCGGGCGACGAAAATTGGAGCTTAAGACTGGGGCTGATGATTAACTCGGCGGCGGCGTTTGTGTCAGCTGTGGATTACACGGTTGCTGTGTTTTCCTCGAATTTTAGAGTCGAACGGAACTCGAATTTGATGAGCTTTCAATTTGTAGTTTAGAGTTTGAATTCGGGATAAGTTTTAGAGAAAGAAATGGATATTGCGTTTAACTCTTTGTGGACAAATGTCGATATTTTACCGAGTAACTTTCATGTTAGGAATGCTGAGTTGCAGATGAATGATTTAACTACTAAACAGCGAGAAATAGGTTCCTGATTCTCTGTTAATATCGATAAATATCTGATTCCATTTCCCCAGTCGACGAAGCATCGAGTAAATATTAAAAACTCCGCCGAACGAAACCGTTTACAAGTGCGTATAAAATCCGCATTAACGTCCGCGTGAATATTCATCGAGCGGCGTAAATGAATTTACGAGATGATCGACCATTGTATAATCGATTTCGCGTTCCGCGGCCGGGTTTTTCGTATCGGAACGCAACGGGGAACTGCAACGGTGGCGAGTGTTACCTCGGCGTTGCGCATTCGAAGGCGAGCCAGGCCTCGGACCGGCGGAACGGGAACGTAATTACGGAGAACGACCGAGAATAACAATTAACACCGCAACGACCGGGGGCCGCCACCCCGTCAACCTAAGCGCTTTCGGACAAGGACCAGGAACAGGACGGAGCTCGCCGCGATAGGCGGTTATAAGCTTCAAGGTCGTTTGAATTTCCACGCGTTTTACAACGATGCGCGCGCGACAAGACTAATTAGCTCGGCCTACTTCACGGGGGAGGTCTGGAAAGAAGTGGCGCGATAGACGGCCTCCCTGTAACGCGTACGCGGGACACGACGCGAACGGAAGTAGGTTACCGATGAGATTAAAGCCGGCGAAATTAACTGCTAGCCCCGTAATTTCGTTTGCAAATTACCTGTCGATGGAACGTTCCAGAACGCTGATGTGGGGCTTAGGAAATACCACTCCCTTGCACGCTGGGAATATTTAACCCTTTGCACTCCAGAGGCGTCTCTAAGTCACCGAATGATTTGACACGGCAAAACTGTAAAGTTTGATATTTAATATCAAACTTTGTATATGCAACAATGTACGAAATATTGAAAACATAGTTCTCTTCCTCGATGCATGTGAGATTTCTTAATTCAATCGAAGAAAATGTCGTCTGTCATTAGAAAGTATTGAATGTTTCCTGTGAAAAAATTCTGGAGTGCAAAGGGTTAATATCGACACTTGAATCTTTCATTTTGTTTAGATTTCTCGTTGGTTGTGGAAGATTGTTTTTTGAATGTTAGAGCTTTGTGATTTTTTAGAGAGAGAATTTGCTTGATATTGGTATTTGTAGTCGATACGGTGTCAATTGTTCTTGTGTTTATAGTTGAATTGAGTGTGTTGGTTTTTATTCAGGTTTTACTTGAGAAGTGTTAACGTGGTAGAAGGGGTTTTTATGTGGATAATTTCGGTTTCGTTAGCTTCCGTCGCGAGGCAATGTTTACAAAGGAATCGAACGCTTTGACGAGTTCCTAATTCCTATTCGGAGTGCGTCCGCGATAAGTACGACACTTCGAGGAAAACAGTAGGGATTAAAAGGGAGGGTGCGACTTAATGTCGACGGCTTTCGGTCGCCTAACGCATTGGTATTCGGCGGCGGTGTTCGTCTAATGCCCTGCTTTTGTCTGAACAGAGGTGAATAGGAAGGACGGCCGATTTTCCTCGAGGAGGATGTAATGGGTAGACAGGATCAGCTTCCACATTCTTTCAACCCTTCGTCCCGGCGGAAAGTCCTTCGAGAGACTCACTCGAAGACGTAGTACAAAATAAGGGATGATTTCTCTACCCTCGCAAACTTCTCGAGACAGAGGCTCCCTAAAATTTCAGGAATGTAGTTTCAAAACGAAATAAAATTCAAGAATCCTAAATGCAGTCGTAACATTTTCTCACTGAATTATAATAGCTGACTCTGCAACTTTAAATTTCAAATATTCAAAGAATCATTCGAACTCAACTTTCCAACTTAAGCAACACGCCAAGTTACATTACCACGATTATTCCAATAAACAAATCTCAACAGAATTCCAAATGTTCCAGAGGTCAAAGATACCCACAAATCACCGTTCTTAAAAAACACCCCCACGAATCCTTTCATCTAACTCACACGCGTACAAATTAACTCCTTGGCGTACTATTTTTACTTTCGCCAAGCTCGTGAACCATTTTACTATCGACAATCTGGAAGAAAAGCAACAAAATTGTCCATTCTACTTCAAGTGGAAATTTGATTTAAAAATAATACAATGATAACAGCAAAATAGTTTGCTTTGATCCGTGGGTAATGAACAACATCGATTGTTGTTAAATTAGTCTATAAATCCTCTTCACGAGTCTCACTCGTCATTGTACGGCAAGAGGTTAAAAAGACCTTCCCTAAAAAGCCCCTTCCTCCGGAGAAGTGTTCGATTTCCGTTGGAAATCTCCGAAGTCGATATTTACCCTTCGCCGTTCGTTTCTTTGGCAACAATTAAATCCGGAGCATCCACTCTTGCCTGGGACGGACGTATTCCGGTCTCGAGAGGCAACAGACCATCCACCGTCGAGCCAGCCATAAAACAAACCCCGTGCCTTTCGCACGAGTCGGTTCCTTCCGAGACACAGCACGCTCCCACCCTCTCGTCCGAGCACCCCCGTCGTTTCATCGTCTTGCTTTCTTCTTCCTCCCGCGGTCAGTTGCGAGCTGTACAGCTCTCGTATTTATGAGGGATTTTCCGGCGTAGGAAACAGGGTGCACACCACCAATTTCCACGGATCCAACCCTCTCGCGCTACCCTCGCAGACGGCGTCCCAATTTTTCTGCACCATAGGTTTTAACGAGGAGCTTTCGCGGCAAATGATCGTTCTTTATTGATAAACGGAGTACTCCTAACGGTGTTTTTATTCGTGGCACCCCTTCTCGGGCTGCCCCCCTGCCTGAAGGGGCGCGCTTCTCGCTGGACGGTACCGTTGCGGAAGGGTTGCGAGGGGCAAGGCGAAAGTTAACGATGTTTCGAGTAATCCGCAATTACCGCTGTGATTTCTTGTTTGGCGGAGGGAGATTTGGAGTAGGTTACCGGTGAGATAGCAACGGCGAGGGTCATTTGTGAGCCGGAATGGAATTTTATGTTCGCGGGGAAAGAACGGCTGCGGCGTATTTCAAGCTTGTGAATGCGATTCCGAGTTACTGTTGTTTCGCGGGGCAGATTATTGAATAGGGGTTCGCTGAAAGGAGGTTCTCCTCGGGAACTGTAATCATTTGGAAGCACGATGTTATGGAGAGATTAATATTACTGCTACTAATTGATTAAATAGTAAGTTTTGCTAGTAAATTAAGAACGCGAGTCTTGAGACGTATCTTGATTGTATCTTTTGTGACCTTTTCGTCTCAAGATATAAGTTCTATATAAATCAGTTCGAACCGTCATTAAACATTCGCATCAATTAAGAAGATCGCAATCTGAGATTAAACTCTAATTGACATTGAAAAACGACAAAGGATATTCGCGCATTCTACGAAGAAATGAAACCAAACTCGTTCTCCCTGCGAGTCGATATAATGTCGGCGCGAATTAAGACTCCCTTTTAATTAAACCGAACAGGGGCTGAATTATGATCGGAATCGCGCGCAAGTGGCAGTAGAGAGGCTGACACGGAGATACAGGCAGAGCGAAAAGAAATAATGAAAGAAAGAATGGGTACATCCGGTGTTCGACGAGTATGTATAATTCTCTGCTTAATTATTCTCCAGGTGCCGCAGCCGCATCCCGGGTCTACGTGGACGCTTTGTCGAAATTAGCACTGCAGGCGCAACTGGGTACATGGGGTGGCTCCAAGGATGTCGGTGAGTAATTTAACTTAATCGCGATTTTCTTATTATCGCGCATTAATAATCACTCGTCAATCATTAATTAAATACTCCGTGTGATCACGTCAATTTCAATTCTGGCTTGGCAACAATACCGAACCGTAGCAGATTATTCGCAATTCAATCAACTGTTTTATTTAAAGCATCCTACGATGTAATCGGATTACTATTTACCTAACGTTGTTTCTTACAAACAACCCCGGATAAAAAAAAATTGAAAATTCGTAATTAATCAACAGGAGAAAAAGGAGAATACGTATAGACACGTGATATCGTTCTTTTTATTGGCGCGGCTCGTAACGATCACCACAGGCGAATTAATTAAAATTTGTCACCCAATTATCGGCGGACAAACGCGAGTCGTTCTGTCCTTAAACGGCAGACCGGCGCACGCGCGTTCGCGGGTTAATTAATTAGCGCGACACGCGTCATTAGAAGGGCAAATAAATCATCGAATCGTCGACGGAAAATTTTGTTTGTCCCGATCGGCCGGGCTCCGTTTGAATTTCAAGCGGAATTTTTCGTTTTGTTTGCCTTCTGTCTTCTTCTCCCATCGTTTCGCGTTCATCGGCGTCCCTCCTCCCTTCCCCTTTCACTCCGGGCTCGCCGATGCCGACTTTGTCTTCGTCCCGATGCGTCTCTTAATTACCAGATCGGCCGGGTCGCGGCGGTAATTATTTCAATTACGACCATCCGACTGCGGGCCCGTCGTGTTCATTGTAAATTAATAGAAAAGCGGGGAACAATTAAAATCGAGCGGCCGCGATTGAAAATATCCGTCGCGTTTTTTAATTGCTACTGGTAATTATTACCCGCGCTGCGTACGCCGCTGCTTCGGAATTCGATGTTATTGGGTTTTTCGAATATCCCCGGATTTCGCACGATCGACGATCGGCGAACCGAGAAACCGATGTGACATTTTTCGAGATAAAACGATGCCTTGAGATCGAATCTTCTTTTGAATTAATATTAGTTACGATATCTGGTATTTTAAAAAATATTTTGAACCATAGAAATAATTTTTTTTCTCGTGATTCGATGAGCTACCCTAAGCATTCTGGAACTAGAATAACATTCTATTGGAATTATTCAATACTTCTATTAATTATCACGAAATTTCGATAAGACTTTGATATGTCAATTTTCACGTACAATAAAATAACGCAGATATTAAATCATATTCGAAATAAAATAATTTCTTAAGGAAAAATTAGAAAATAATTTACACTCTATAGGTGAGCTCACTGACGGCTCTCTGAAATTGGATAATAAAGTATTGCTCGCTATATAAATTGGCTTTCAGATAGAATGCGGATAAGAGCCGGCCGATAATTAATTAAAACGCCGCCTTACAATAAACTACTTATCATCCCCAACACACTTCCCATTCGTTTCTGTCGGCCCTCTTTTAATCAAGAATAATGGAACAATGACTTCATTTACATGGCTCTCTCCTCCACATCATGTTTACTTGTCTGAAGTGTTCGGCGCGGGGAAGAAAAAAAAAGTACTCCTAAAATAACCACGAGGGCAAGCAGCCATTCTCGAAAATTAAACGAACCACTCGGTTCTTCGTGTCCTTCGTTAAACAGTCAAGCTTTGTCGCAAACCGGACCGCAGTCGAACCGACTTTCAAGCGAATTCTGAACCGTTAGGGTGGGATCCTCGAGTCAACCCTCGCCCCGACGAAATTCTGTTAACACTTACATGCGACGAACGCTTGAACCCTGCCTCCTTTCATATTCGAACGTAACAATTATTACAATTCGCGATCCCTTTAACTCGTACTAATAATCGAATCATTAATTTCAATAGATAAATATATCTAGAATTAAATTTAAATCAAACCTTGCTTTAACAAGATCTAACAACCCTAGATAATTTCATACACGAAAATCATTTCACTAACTAAAGAATCTACTTGCAACTAAACTTGACACTTAAATTCCCATAAAAACATCGTTACAATTGAAATATTCAAATAAAATTAGATTAACATCTGTTCTACCAGTCAATCTAACCCATCTCAGAATCTTCAGTCCGCAAGTATTCAAATAACAAAATTTTCGCGAAAAATTGTGAAATCTACTTGTACAGACACAACAATAAGGTACCCATAAATTATAAATATCTCCCAACTTTTCTCAAAACTCAGAGATACCTCGAGTTGCTCGTTAATTTTAGCGTTAATCACGAGTCTGCGTAAATAGCTCGGTTCCGCTTAACAAACGAACACTTACGGTAATTCTAAGCGGTGGCAGTCTCATCCCTCGTTTCTTCGTGCTCCCTCGCCTGCTTTAGAAGCTCGACCTGTCGAGGCGAGGAGCGGCCAGGACAAGAGAGCACTCCCGCGGCTTCCAAAGCCAATAAAGGCTCAGCCGTTTAACCGTCTCTCCTTTCCTGCCTGTCTTACGCCGCGAACGACCGTGCCCGCGGGGTGAGACGAACGGGCGGGCCGCGGGGCGCGGAAAAAAGTTGCTAACAGGATCATTGCAGCGTGATAAGTGTACGTATTAAGTCCGGGTCGGTAACCTCCGTGGCCCCGCGTCGCGGGAGGAAGAAAGGCACGCCGAGGGAAAGCGGCCGCCTCGGGAAGCAGCCGAAGTGCGACCGAACTTTTATTTGTTTTCCGAACGGAAACGGAAAATCCCATTCGATCCGGAACGAATCGCTCGAATCTCTCGCTGGCCCCGTATTTTCCACGCCGGGGACCTGCACGTTTTGTCCGTTCGCCGCGGATGTTTAGCGCGAAGCTTTCCTCCCGCTCCTAATATTTCTTTCGCGTCTCTGTTATTTCTACCGTCGATACTAGGGGATCGAGGAATGCCGGGCGTACTGGGAATTTTCGTCTCGGGGATGTTTGGGAATTAAGGATTACTTTGATTTTGGTTCTTCCATGGAGTTGAAACGGATTGGGAAATTGAGATGTATCGTTGGATAATTGGTTTATCAACCCTTTGCGATTGTGACGTCCGAGATCGAGCTTCCGCGTTGTATACGTTGCAAACGAATGATTTAATTACTCGAAGCAAGAAATTAGTTTAGTCTCTAGTGTTCTAGCATTCTATCTAATTTAACAGAAGCAGATTTCGCGTGCTCTAAACATTCCAACCCTTAAAAGTGATGATTCTTAGATCTTCCGTTACTAGTCTCTCAGTCTGATAATTCCAATAATCAATTCCCTATATCTAAACAAACAACCTTTTACCATTAAACACAGTGATAACCTAATATCATAAACAGTTCACTCTAATTACAATTACTGAATCTAAGAAAACATATCCTCAAACGTAAGCTACCTATTTCTGAAAGATCAATCACCTGTTAACAAGTTGCGCGTTAAATAGCGTTATCAGGAAGACGATCGATGTAACGGTTCCCAGGTATATTCCCGGATAACGAGAGCTATCCGGACAATAATACCTCCGTCTTACCGGAACCCGTAACCGGTTAAAACGACAAATAATAATGCGGTAACCCTATTTCGGGGCAGCGCGCGGGGCAGAGCTTAAATTGGAAGGTGCCCCGGGGCGTCTCGTATCTAGTTAACAGGGGTTATATCCGAGCCTCGGATATTCTACCAGACCACCGATTGCAGTTAACTTCGGCCAGCATCCTGGAACCGGCAGCGGCGGGGTGGGGGGATGATGCAATGTAGGCAGGTTCGGGAACTCGTTTCGTATTATCTTTGAAAATACCGTTGTATCCGCGGAATACATTCGTATAATTACTCTGTGCTATCTAGAACCGCCCAGCGGAACGCGGACAGCGATTCTCTTATTTATTTGGGACACGCCGAGGATTAGAACACTTAATATTGCACTCAAAACCCGGAGCCAACGCTGCAGTTCTACGTCTACGACGATAATTAACCCTTTGCGCTCGAGAGGTGACTCTCAGTCATCACTTGATTTGACACGGTAAAAATGTAGAATGTGATATTTAATTTAAACTTTGTATAATGCCTCGATACGTGAAACATTGGAGTCAAAGCTTTGTTCCTCAATGTACTGTGACTTCTCTTCGAATTAGTCTCGAAGAAATATCCGAGTGCAAAGGGTTAAGCCCTTGAGGACGAAGATTCTTTGAAATGTACAAAACCTTCGTAAGATAAAGATAAATTATATATCAATTGCTTAATTAATAGAAAAAAGGGTACGCGCTGATCTCTTACTGTTCGAGTGATTAAATCATTTGTCTGCAACTTAGTCTTGCAAATATGAATATTTCATCTCGTCGAAATGTCGAAATAAAAATTGGTGATTTTATTTAGGCGATCGTGGTACAATTATCTTTTCTCTTTTCGCAACGTGCAGTTGGTTTAGTCAGTCGGTGAATCTTCTCGTTTTACGATGGAAGTTAAGTACGTTCGTTCTTCCGCGCTGCGTCCTCTGGTTAATCGTAACGAAATTGCGGTGATCGTTAATGGCCGACCATAAAATAATCGTGGTTCGGTCGCCTTGCTGTTAATATTCATGGGGATGGTAATAGAACTAACAACGATCGACCTATGACCTTTCGTGCTGGAACGGAAAACACGAACGAGTATTTTTAAGAAAGTATTCCATGAGCTCCTTTATTCCTTCGCGTAATTAGATACATCACAATAAAAATCTAAAAATCTTGAAATATTATACAGGTACCACTTTTGCAAATTCAAAAATATTCGTCATGCTTTACAACTGAATTTTCTCGAAAATTAAACCTATGTTCTCCATTTTCTGCTCGACAATTATGCAATCATCTTCGATATAACAATATTAATTTATCGTGAAAATGATAATTCATCGATTTTCGGTAATCAGGTGGGTCAGTGTGATTTCGTAGTTCTCTGTACGTCTCTCGGCGAAACGCTTGGTTCACGTGACTGAAACAGGAAAGAACTTCCTAGGAAAATTCAGTGTCATCAGGAAACTGTTACACTCGGAAGACACTCGGAGGTTCTTACAACAATCGATGGGCACCGGGCTGGAATA